CCGGATTTCGGGATTTTACTTAGTCGTTTTTTTTTGTGGGGGGGTCATTATATCCCGACGTGCGTTCGGGATTTCGGTACCGAAAACGCACTTCGTGATTTCAGAATTTTACGTAGTCGTTTTTTTGGGGGCGATCATTATATCCCGACGTGCGTTCGGGATTTCGGTACCGAAAACGCACTTCGGGATTTCGGGATTTTACTTAGTCGTTTTTTTAAGAGGGGGTTGATTATATCCTGACGTGCATTCGGGATTTCAGTACCGAAAACGCACTTCGGGATTTCGAGATTTTACTCAGTCGTTTTTTTTGGGAGGGGTGAATATATCCCGACGTGCGTTTGGAATTTCGGTACCGAAAATGCACTTTGGGATTTCGGGATTTCACTTAGTCGTTTTTTTAAGGGGGGATTGATTATATCGCGACGTGTGTTCAGGATTTCTATACCGAAAACACACTTCGGGATTTCGGGATTTTACTTAGTCGTTTTTTTTTTGTGGGGGGGTGATTATATCCCGACGTGCGTTCGGGATTTCGGTACCGAAAATGCACTTCGGGATTTCGGGATTTTACTTAGTCGTTTTTTTAAGGGGGGGGTGAATATAATCCTGACGTGCATTCGGGATTTTAGTACCGAAAACGCACTTCGGGATTTCGAGATTTTACTCATTCGTTTTTTTTGGGGGGGGGTGAATATATCACGACGTGCGTTTGGGATTTCGGTACTGAAAACGCACTTCGGGATTTTGGGATTTTACTTAGTCGTTTTTTTAAGGGGGGGGGGGATTATATCGCGACGTGCGTTCAGGTTTTCGGTACCGAAAATGCACTTCGGGATTTCGGGATTTTACTTAGTCGTTTTTTTTTGTGGGGGGGTCATTATATCCCGACGTGCGTTCGGGATTTCGGTACCGAAAATGCACTTCGGGATTTCGGGATTTTCCTTGGTCGTTTTTTCAAGGGGGGGTGATTATATCGCGACGTGCGTTCGGGATTTCGGTACCGACAACGCACTTCGGGATTTCGGGATTTTACTTAGTCGTTTTTTTCGGGGGGGTGATTATATCCCGACGTGCGTTCGGGATTTCGGTACCGAAAACGCACTTCGGGATTTCGGGATTTTACTTAGGCGTTTTTTGAGGGGGGGTGATTATATCCCGACGTGCCTTCGGGATTTCGATACCGAAAACGCACTTCGGGATTTCGGGATTTTACTTAGTCGTTCTTTTGGGGGGGGTAATTATATCGCGACGTGCGTTCAGGATTTCAGTACTGAAAACGCACTTCGGGATTTCGGGATTTTACTTAGTCGTTTTTTTAAGGGGGGGGTGATT